GCATTCACTCGTAGAGGAATTTAGATAAGCACGAAATAGGTAAATTAGTAAAAGTCATGGTTCCCACTTACTGAGCTACTGCAAGCGAGACTATATATTAAATACCTCATAAACATAAACTCATTTAATTGTTATGGCTCTATGGCATTACTTATTTATAAAGACATGCATGATAGATAATACCTTTTTAGGGAATCTGTTTAAGTAACTTGCTCAAGGTCGCACAGCAAGTAAGTGGCCAAGGCAAACTGTATGTTCATAAACAGCCCAAATCTTATGGAAAAAGGAAATAAAACAAACTTAACTAAATTCTTTTCATATTTTACACTACGCTGAAAATTAGTGAATCCATTTAGTGGTCAAAAAGGCCAGAATAGAGAAGAGACCAAAAGCAAGTCACAGCTCCTCCAAGTAGAGAAGGATTCACATTTAAGAGCCACAGCTTTGTGCTGCTTCCCAGTGTGCGTATTAACCTCTCCTTAGGCCAGAACACAATGCAGAACTAGGTTGGCATAATGGGCCTTTCTTCTCTGTGCCACGTGACCAGCATTGCATCATTTCCCTCTGCCGCATGGCTTCACTGAAGGGTGTGATTCACTTCTGTTTTCAGCAAGGAAAAATAAAAGCAAATAACCCAAGTGGGATGACACTTCTGGCTGCCTCTTCCAGACCTGGTTCACTTTCCAACCATTTCTTCATTAAAGTGGAAGAGACAGACAGTCAAACGTGAGGACTGGGCTCATATGACTCTGCTGGCCCCAGCACCACTGGGCAAGGGTAGGTCTTTAACACGAATTTAACACTGCCCATGAAGAACATTCTAACCTTCTCTCCCTTGTGTAGGTCAATGGCAGAAATGTCATGAAAACATGGAGTTGAATAACTCAGTGAGGAGTCATCTTTCAAGAGAAAACAGCCCAGTAAGACGCAGACTGGAGCGGGGAGGGATGTCCTAGGGACAGTATCAACAATTTATCTCTATCCTTTTCTCAGAGCCCAAAGAGCATTTTCATTCCCCTGGCCCAAGAAGTGACAGTCTCTTAGTCACCCCCTAAAACAAGAGCCTTGTCTGCAGAACAATATATTTAATGAGCTCATTGCACCAGTTTGATCGCTGTTATTTTGTGTATAAGGGACACTTTTGAGAGTTGATGAGGGGTGTATAAGGGACACTTTCAAGAGTATATGAGGGGACCTTCCATCACTGGAGTGTGTACACTTCATGAGTAGTGAGATCTTAGGCCTGAGCTCCCTTTACCAGATAATTATACTTAACTTTTGGTCTTTTCCTTCACTCCAGACAAACTTCCCTTTATTTTTGCATCGTGCCTATCAAGTCCAGGCTCTCTGAATCTCACCAGCATAAAAGCATACTATATTCTAGCATGATAACAATATGCTCACTCCACTTCTCGCCCATGACTGTGATTATAGACTGTGTGTCAGGAGTCGAGTCCATTTTTGCCTTCTGTAGAACATGTAAGTTTACCAAAACACAAGGTTTGGATACAGCTGGTCTATAAAATGAACTCGGATGATCACTTTCAGTTCATAATGACATCTTAGTTATTCAGTGTGTTTGCAACTATCAACTGGAAATCCCACTCTCAGTGCCAACCCACCCTTACCAATGCAAAGGTGAGATCAGTGCGCAAAGCTGGTGAGGACCAGACCTGTCCTGCAAAGGTGGTTGGCAGCAGAGAGGCAGTCAAGGAGGAGTTGTGAATGTTCCAGATGGGACGTGCCATGTGAAGAACACCGGGAACCAGGTCTTGCCAGAGGTGATGGGGACAGAGATCCAGATGTGGGGGATGTCATTTGGGGAAGAAAGCATGACAAGTTTTAATGAACAAGAAACAAGTTTTCAATGAACAAGAAAGAAGAGCCAAAAAGGACTCCAGTTTCTTGCCTGGAACTAACTGATCATGAAATTCAGCATTTACAAGAAGAAAGCTGAACAGAATAAGGGACCTGGAGGAGAGAGAGAAAGTCGAAGCTTCACCAGGCTGGTAAGAAAAGATTCAGCTTTGGACATAACTATCAGTAATATAGGAAAATAGTAGGGAAGATCTGGTCTTCCAGATAGGGTCAATAAGGGTCAATGAGTATTATTTATGTACAAATAATAGTCTCTCCTACTCATACACGCAACTCATCTTTCAGGGGGTTGATTACTGGATATATTTTATTGTAATTATCGATTTATGTTGGTCTCTTTCTGTAGACAGTCTTCTCTTTAAGAGCAGGAACTTGGCTCATGTTCAGCTAAAAGTCATCTCAGGGTACTAGAATTCAAAAAAAATTTTTTTTCTGCTGTCTACACAAACTGTGTCCAAAGGCTGCAAGCAGTAGGTCAATCAGAGTGGCAAAAGATGCATTCCTCCTATTTTCAGGAAGAAGGATACATTCCAGAAATTCCCCTTGCAACTTGAATCACAGTTGCAAGCTTGTACTGAAGGCTGAGACTAAGTGAGCACCTGCCTCCTGCAGACATGCTGGGGGAAATGAGCACAGGAGGGAGTTGGGAATGGATCCTGCTGGGGAGCCAATAAGAACAGAGATTCTAGAGCCAGAAGTAAACTTGCATCTAGGTGCTAGCACTTACTGATGCACTTGCCCTGGGGAAGTCATTCACTCATTCATTCATTCATTCATTCATTTTTCACCTATATGGTGGTATTTGTCTCAGTAGGATCTGATGAAGTTTAAATGAGATAGTGCTCAGAACAGAGGGTGAAACTCAGTAGTCCTTCATAAATGCTAGCTATTCTTATTAGACCATTCCAAGACTTAGCTGAAGGGTGCTGTGGATAGGCAGTAAAGAGTCAATAAAACTCTTTCAGGTTAATAGCCGAATCTAAATAATAAGACTGAAATCTAAACCTCACCAGAAAATACTGATATTTCTACGTAAATGAAAATACCCGAAAACAGGAAAATATTTTAGTCATTTTTTGGTAATGACAAAGTTAAGGATATTTCATCTACTGCTGTTAGATGGCATTCAGATGAATTAATACTGTATTTTCTCATTTTAATCTAATGACAGATTTCAATAAACCTAATATATTCCTGTTTTCTTTCTCTTTCAACAGAGAATTGGCTACAATCTTGAAGGGCTCAGGTTTCTGATCTAGTAATATTCTCTCTTATAATTTGCTTAAAAGAAAACAAAAATAGACTCAATTTCTTATTGAATGGGCATAAGAAAAACACCAGGGAATGCTCCTTTTTTTTTTTTTTTTTCTTGGAACTAGAAGCAGAGAGATACAATATTGTCATTTGAGAACTTTGCCACTGCTTTTTGACAAATACCGCTCTGGTACCTCAGTAGGAAATACATGTCAATATCCTTCTGCTCCTATCGGAGTTTCATCAGTTTCACCTACTATTCATCAATCTCTTGATCTTGCAAAGAATGATGAGAGGTAGCATAGTTTAGTTTTTACCCTAGACTCTAGGTCTGATTTCTGGCTCTGTCACTTACAAGTGGGATGTGTAAACAGGGTCATGGTGAGGATTAGAGGAAATGATGCATGTAAAGCAGGTAATACAGCACTTGACACTTCTCAAGGGCTTATAAATATCAGCTGTTATTACTGTGCTTAATGCAAGGCTACGTAACGAAAGTGGGGGAGTTATTAATAGTCATCTACCATTGTATGGATTATATTTTACGGCAGTTTCTATTGTTGACTACCCTTCTGCCTTGGTAAGAATCTCTGTTTTGTTCAAGTAGCAGGTAGCAGTCTTTTGTCCTACAGAAAGTGGACCCATTCCAGCCCAATGCATCATGGTTTGTCTAAACCAATGTGGTAATTCCATTCAACTTTGCCAGGACTGGCATATCACCTAATTCCAATTAGGAAAGCAAGAGGAAGTTTGCTGGTGTCTTTGGCAAAATTTTTTCCTCATCAGAAGAAAGACCTAACCTTGAACTCTCTCCCTTCCTGACTTTTAAGTAAAGCAAAGAGGTTTGGAACCGAGGTTACCATCTGTGATCATGCAGTGACAAGTCTAAAGGTTGGATGGTCTGTGTCCTTGAGCTTCTAAATCCACCTGGAACCTATGATCTCCAGACTGTATGTTAGGTAAGGAAATTAATTAAGTCTTTATTCTTTCAGCCATCATGAAGTTATTCTAGTATTTATGGAAAAGCCTCCTAAAATGACACACATTTCCAATTACTAGATGGCAAGAGAAAGTTCTAGGTAAGAGCCATACTGTTCTACCTATGAAGAACAGGCCTGTTACTGAACTGTGATTACTGAGAAGAGGGATTTAGGATTTAGGATGAAAGTCACTGATTAGAATCCTACTCAATCATTTCTAATTTATATTTCTTTTCTTTTTTAAGTGGAACAGTTGGCTGATTTGAATTTCAACTCCTTTGCCCCTCTAGGAAAATGGCAATAAGCACTGAAGTAGCTAACAAAATGGCTAATAAGAGAAAGAAAAGAAGCTAAGTTAACATTAAAACAGATTTTAGGATCTTTAAAATGTGATAGAACTTTAGAGAGAGAATTTTTAGAGAAAATGAGAATGAGTTCTTAATCATAATTTTGACTGTTCTTAAAGCTCAAGCATTTAACATTGTTAATTTTTTTTTTCTTTTCGGTTGAAAATGAGCCAAGTTTTCAAACACCTTCAAAATTGATATCTCAATCGGCAGAGCTAGGATCAGCTTTCCAATAATAATAATAATAATAATAATAATAATAGGAATAATGATAAGGACTGGGGGTTTGTTAGGAAATAGAGCACAAAAATCAGCAAGGAATACTACAATTTTTTCTTACTTTCCTATTTTCTTGCAATTGTATTAGGTCAAATAAAATAGAGAAGGGGTTGTTCTGTACTCTCAGCCTGGAAGAGAAGATGAGATCAGGACTCAGGGCCACCATCAAACCCTGAGGGAAGTAAAACAAAACACCCAGTGTGGCCCTGCACAGGGCTTAGCTTCTCTCCAAACTCCCAAAGGAAGCTAAACTACTCATTAGAAAAGTAGATCTTTACTTCTGGGATGCTGAAATAGTACAAGTGTACTACAGCTAAGACCATGGTGTCAGTCAATACCAAGGTTTCATTTTTAGGGGAGATTCATTTAAAATGTGGTTTTCAAAAGCTGAAAATTGAGAAGCTGAGTTCCATTTTTTTGAAGAAAAACCACCATTTGTCTTCCCCGTGGTGTTCGAACTTGTAAATTTTAAACTAACTGCTTATAATTTGCCAAAGTCATAGGCGATCTATTCCTTTAAGGCAACGTTTTCAGTTGTATAATTCTTTAAAGCTGTCATGAGAGAGTTCTACCTAGTCCCAGGCATAAAGTACAAGTAGATGGTGTAACAAACCAGTGTTTCAGACACATTTTAAAATTACTTCTTTATTTCAACAAGGCTTAACTTGAAACACAATATCTACTAAAACCTAGGAGAGTATCCTTTGAATGTATGATCATATGCTATAAAGCTTCCAGAATACTGACAATTTCCACAAGCACCATATCTCACCGTGCCGAAAGACATGCTTGTCTCTTGATCAAGAATGCTAGCACTTCAAATGGGAGACAACCCTGTTCAAATTCACTGAGTGGGATACACAGTCACTACTGTTTAAAAAAAAAAAAAAATACAGTAGAAAGAACCCGATAGACTGTGCAGTGTGACACCTATTTCTTATTCAGAATACTTAAAAGCTGACTAGTCTAAGAAATTGATCAAGCTTAGAAAGCCAGAGATTCAGTCTCTACTTATCAGTCAAGTTCAATAGTGTACAACTCAACCTCCTCCAGTGCGGCTTTAATGGCATAAGGGAAATAACTGACACATATTATGATGTTTACACAAACCTCATTTTTCCGTGGAGGTATTCAAAACCCTTCACATTAAACAGGTAGTGACAAGGTGTCACATTGCTCCTTTCACCTAAGGAAGTAGGGACAGGAGGCAATCAAGGTCACACACAGAAAAATAACAGAAAAACAGGGAAGAAAAACTTAATCTCGTGTTTAAACAATTGAAGTATGTTTTTGAGTTGACTCTTATGTAACACACCATTTTCTTGATTTGCCAGATCCTTCCTACATAAATATAACATTCGAATGGAATTTTACTAAAGTTTCTCCCTAGTTAATCTAATACCCTATCCTTTTCATGGCTGCCAAAATACATATTTACCTGTTTAAGTCTAAACTCAAAGAAGTCAGCCTACTGTCTCTTAAGCTCAGGCAAAAAATTTTAATGGAAATTTAATTGTATATTTCCATAATGTTGTGCTTGTGGCATTAGCTGAGAATTCTGGAAATTTCAAAGCTGTCTTCCACTGCTAAACTACTTTGCACTTTGCAATTGATTAAGAACAGCGGAGGCAGTCAGAGTTGTATATCAAATTAGAGTTGATAAAAGCTCTTAAAATAGATTTGAATGCCTTCTTGAAAAAGATTTCAACTCCCTTAAATTGACATGACAACAAATTCTTACAGAAGCATAAAAAGTATTAACTGAAATGTTATGGCTTTGGCTTAAATTTCCATCTGCAGCTCATCAAACGACTATACAGTAGAAAGGAATTAAACCAAAATCAGAATCATTATAGAGTCTGATATGCTGGCAGAATATAAACTTTCACTGTTTAGCAGCTGGAGTTCTGGAGTTCTGGGTGACTAATATTTAAATGCTTGTGCTTGTATGTTCTGTAAGAAAGAAGAAAATTGTTTTAACCATATAGGTAAGGGGTAGGATCGAGAACCTTACAGAAATATAGAATTCTCTCACACACAACCTACTCTTTAATCTTAATGTTCTGAAGAGTGACAGGACCACTAAAATGAAGAACGACTGGCTTTAAATTAATCCCAGGTCAAAATTCTGATAAACATGGTAAGTCTTCTTCACAGTCTTCTAATGTAAGAATGCCTATCTGAAACTCTTGCTACCCCGATACTGACATTCAACCAAGTGTTTCAGAGTAAATTACCCTCCCTCTTCTCTTTCATGTATCCTGCTAGGGGGAATGTTCTTACAGGAATTTGCTTGCAAGTACCAGGTTTCCAACAGTTGTCTGATGCCATGAAAGTATAAATCCATAAAGTTAAATTCAACAGAATCTACTGAACACAGTCGTGCAAATAAAATCCTCTATGGCATACAGTGTCACTGAAATATCATTGGATCCTTTCCCTGGGATTCTTCTGCATTAATATTTCTAACTTCCAAGGAAGGCGGACAGCTCTGAGATCCCTGATGGGAGGACCCAGGTCTGATTCAGACACCCAGAGCAGTGGGTCTGGTGCATGGTGCTCAAAAGGAAATCCTGAATAACGTTTCTCTTGTTTTTTTCCAACACTACGGAGTCACAAAGTATTCTGACGAAACAACTGGGAAAAGCTGATGCTAAAATAGTAAGTTTTTGAGTATAATCCAGTATCGAAAAGTAAGTAAAGATGTACTTATGGAAAAAAATAATCCTATTGCTCCTTCATGCCTGAGAGATACTTTTCAACTCAAAGAAGAGAACATTTTCTTACTCCTGTAGCCAACGGTTCTACAATGGAGAGATATTTAAATGAATATGATGAAAGGAATCTATCAAATGGCAGTGGTCAGCAAGGAAAAAGATGAGATAAAGTTGTGTACTTCATTTTTCACAAATGCCATTCACCTTTCAAGAAGTGGTTGCCTGCTAAGTCTTTTTCACTGGGTTGTGTGCAAATGGGTGATTCTCAGAAGGCATCACAGTGTAGAAAATCAGACATGTTTGAGTGTTTAAAAAAGATCACTAAGAAAAGGTGGGGTACAGATACATCCAGAAAATAGTGACACGGATGTCTTTTATTTTTTTGTATTTTTCATTTATTTTTAAATTTGATTAACGTATAATACATATGTTTTTTAAATGGGTTCACCTCTGTGTATGTGAAGTAACAGATGCCAAGATATACTTCATCTTTTCCTTTTAAATAAGTCCTATTCAAAAGTAAAGACCTGGGCTAAAATCATTATTTGTCCATTTGAATCTGATCTGAAAGCTCGCATAATATACCTACTTGATGCCATCTGGGTGTCTCATCGCTCAGAAGCTCAGTTTGGGGGTGGGGGGAATTAAGCCTTATCACCCTAAACCAGGAACATTTAGGAAGAAGCTAGTTTATTCATAATCAATGCATCCCATTCATCAAATGAGGTAATGTTTTTAAAGGTGCTGAGCAGACCACAAGGCACTAAATAAATTTAAGATTTAGTACCAGCAGAGAACCTGCACAAAAGCTTGTGTGTGGGGCTGACAAGCCGCGGAGCAGCCCCAACTCAGGAAAATGTCATTTCTCAGCCCAAACTCACATCTGAGTCCAATCATTTTGAATATCACATGAAGCTTAGAAATGTAGAAGTTACTAAGAAGAAGATCAGGACATATGTAACCCATTCAATTCCTTGAGCTGTACCCAGAAGTGAACTAATGAGTCATAGGTATTAAGATGTTCTGAAACAGATGTCTTTTAAATAAAGAGAATATTTCATGTTGTATCATCTAAATGTGCCGTTGAAACATCTGCGTGCTGGGAACTTTCTCAAATATTCTGGGCTGTTCCCAGATTGTAAAAGTATCCAGGTCCTCTCTCAACCGCTGTTTCCCAGTCTATTTCAGCCTACAGCCTACCACTGTTTCCCGGTCTGCTTCAGCTCTATAGGCACCTTTACTTAGCAGCATGCAAAAGTAGCAGAGAAGCTGAAATCAAATCATTTTGTGCTGCCGTCCTTATAGCAGGTTTTGTGGTGGACAAAACTATGCTATCAGGGAAAATGAGATCTCTGAATTATAGATTTCCATTAGTCCTGGAGATAGTCTCCCTGTTCTCACCGCTAAAGATGAGTAGGAGTTTGCTACCATTTCCTAAACAGAAATACAACCCATCAGAGAAACTTCAGCATAGTATGCAAATGACTCTTCAGAAAGAATTAAAGTTTATTAGTACCTTTTTATTTACTAGAGTCATTTAAATTATGTATTTATATATACTGTTAAAAAGCAGGAAAAAAAACGACATGAAACACTCCTAACAAAAGAAGTGTAGCTTTTTTACTATAATCTTGTTTGCGTGTGTTGTATGTTCAATCAAATGACCATAGCGAACAAACTGCGTTATTTGTAATAATAACAGTGAAGACGTCGATACTTAGGTCTTTCAAACAGGCCTGTGCTAAGGAGATGGGGCTCTCCAGAACTGGTTCTTAGGGCGAAGTGGGCAGAGGGAGGAAGATTATGAACAAAGTAGCTTCCTCTTCATGTTCCTGGTTTAGGATGATAAGGCTTAATTCCCCCAAAGCTGAGCTTCTGAGCTTTGAGATACCGAGAAGGCATCAAATAGGTATATTCTGTGAGGTTTCAGATCAGCTTCCAATGAATAATGATTTTATTTCTTTATTTGTTTTAATATTTTATTTACTTGACAGACAGAGCTCACAAGTAGGCAGATAGGCAGTCAGAGAGAGGGGAGGGGGAGAAGCAGGCTCCCTGCTGAACAGAGAGTCCCATGCAGGGCTCGATCCCAGGACCCTGGGATCATGACCTGAGCCGAAGGCAGAGGCTTTAACCCACTGAGCCACCCAGGCCCCTCTAAGTAATGATTTTAGTCCAGGATCTTTCCCTGGACTAAAAGGGACTACAGGACTAAAAAAAGACTACAAGCCTCTGAATAGAGAGTGAGAGGATAGAGAGAGAAAGTGAGAGAGAGAGAGCACACTCACACATGCCCAAGCCTCAAGGGAGAAGGAGGGAGGGGGCTAAGGACTGGCAGTGGCATTGGCCAACAAGAATGAAAGTATGTATAATGCACGAAGATCCCTAATGTTCTTGACCCTTTGATCATCCTATGGGTGATTTTTAAAAATGTGATTATCAAGTGGATTCAGGGAAAGGTTTATGGTGCTTACGAGCATCCTGACTTTCAGCAAAGCATTTTCCTAACTCATTTTATTTTTCGTCTGTCAAGTGTAGATCATAACGTCCCCTTGCAGGGTTATTGGAAAGAGTGAAGATAATAAACACAATGGTCATATGGCCTCCTTTGCCCAGGGGAGTCCCAGTATAATTATTAACTTTCACTCTCAAAAGTGTCCCAGTTTGGACAAATAATGATGTGGTTGCCCTACATATAAATTACCAAGTGTAACATGTGACAGGCAGTGGGCCCTCAGTCAATGTGACAGTCAGTGTTATTCTAAAATTGTTCAAGCATATTAACAATGACAAAAAAACAACACACAAAACAAACACACCAACGCCCTCCCCCTTGTTATTTATCTTCATCACAAACCCAGAAGCAGGGTCTTTCTACCCAGAGTAGACATTGATTTGGGGTTTCGTTTCTCATTAGGACTATAAACTACTTGAGCAGAAGCAACCACGACCGGAGGGAGTGCACAGCCGGTCAGACATCTGAATGACAGGAACATGGGAGTAACTCCCTCCCGAGTGCCTGGAAGGTGCTGGGAGCTTTCAGGGCCCTGAGGGAAGCTCATTTGTTCTGCAGCTGTACGGCTCTGCTGGATTCAGGCAACGTGATTACCTTTAGTTTTCTACTTTTTCACCTCAGCTCCACAAAGAGGTTACAGCGAACACCTTGAGGTTTCTCTTAAGCCTTTCCTGTAGTGTCTTTGAACTACGCTGATGACATAAACAGGAGTCAGTATGTCCTGCTCTGCAGGAGTCAGTGGTGTGCCCCATCCCCATGTGCGTGTGATCTCTCTGTCCCAACTTAACCCAACATGAACCCACATTTCTTTCTTTCTTCCTCTCTTTCAAGATTTTATTCCTTTGAGAGGGAACAAAAGAAAGATCACAGAGGGAGAGAGAGAAGCTGACTTCCCACTGAGCAGTGAGCCCAACAACGACTTGGGGCTTAAACCCAGGATCCTGAGATCACGGCCAGAGCCAAAGGCAGATGCTTAAGGGGCTGAGCCACCCAGGCACCCCCACTAAACAGTATTCTATGTTGGACAGAAATATTGTCCTTCATCACCATCATTTAGCTCACTACGATATATCTGAAAAATGTCACAACCAATTCTCCCAAGTGATCTAAGTTTTTCTAGAACATTACACATTTCAGAATGCATAGCAGCCCTTCCA